CTTGGGACTCCACATGCCATCATGCCATCCTCCCCTTCCCTCACCAGCAGGACACAGCCCTGGCAGAGCAGGATGGTGCTGGGTGCTCCAACACTGCTGGATGTGGGTTTGGAGGTCACTGGTCCACACAAAGTCATCCAGCAGGGACCAGGTTGGCCTCTCCTGGAGACCTGAGCCAGGGCTGTGCGTTTGAGCATCCCCCACGTTGCACTGTCCCTGCTGAGTGCTGCCGTGTGCCCTGGGACAGGCTGGTCCCTGGGGCTCCCTGACCTCCCAGCCCTGCAGGAGAGCTCCCTGCAGGTCCTGGGGGTGAGAGGGACCCTCGAGACCATGGGGGCCAGAACTCACAGCCACCAGGCAAATCAAGCTGCTCCTCTGCCTATTACCATGTTACTTCACACGCTCCTGAGCCACCCTTGGCTCACATCTTGCCCTGTCCCCTCTAACCCATGTGCCCACACCCCGTGGTGAAGAGCCATCCCAAGGCAACCTGGTCCAGCAGCAGGATTCCACCCAAGGCAGGAGTTATTTCCTTTCCAGCAGAAATCCCTCAGCCACTGCTGGCAGGTACCTGCAGCAGCATCAGCTGCCCCTCGAGGACCACCTCCCCCCAAACCTCCTGCCAGAGGCACAAAGGGTTAACGATCTCCTGCTGCCCACAACCATCGCTCCTCCACCACCTCGGCCCCTCAGCCTCCGTACAAAGGGCCTGATTTAATCCCGGTTGCAGACGACTCACATTGTACTCCAGCCTCGGAGCGATGTCGGGCGATCGGGTTTCCAACTAATATCCAAGGCACAGCCCGAGCACTGAGCGGGAACAAAGGCGTCTTTGTTACTGGAAAAAAAAAATCCCCTGAAGATATTAGCAGTGCAGTAGAGTTCAAACTGTTAAATGATTCAAATATTATTTAATGAATACATTTGAAATGAGGTCTCACAACCCAGAACACTTTTTAGATCATCATTTACAAAGAGCCTCCTCTTCATTTACTTCTTTATGAAGTCGCTGCTTTCAGGTTTCAATTATGGCCATTTTGCTTCCAGCTTCTTTTTTTTTTTTTTCAAGGGACTTCCCCTGTTGGCGTGGCTTGGTTCTTTTTACAGTACAGTTTAGCTGGTGACTACTGAGTCTTTCAGAAGTCCTGGTAATCACATTCCCTTAATTTACCTTGAACTGTGTCTCTGGGAGAAACAAGACAGAGCTTCTTGCAAAAGCAGCAACAGCAGTAGGTGCTGTTCTAGAAGGTCCCAAACCCAAGCTGATAAAACTAGGAAATATGTTAAATCAGCATATCAAGATTTTAGCTGGGATTGGAGAACCTCTACAAAAGTTCAGATTGTACAAATATCTCACATTTCTTGTCTTGGAAATGCAGTTCTCAACCAGAAAGTCAAGTAGGTTTAGAGAGAAAGATTAAAGAATCAAGGTAGATGAGGTTCTGGAAGGAAACACATCTCCAGCCTGAGGGATAAAGTTTTAGAGTTAGAGTTTACTGTGCTTACAGCGATGAGGAATCCAGAGCTGCTCTGAGGCACAGGCAGCAAATATCACACATTTCTTGTCTTGGAAATGCAGTTCTCAACCAGAAAGTCAAGTAGGTTTAGAGAGAAAGATTAAAGAATCAAGGTAGATGAGGTTCTGGAAGGAAACACATCTCCAGCCTGAGGGATAAAGTTTTAGAGTTAGAGTTTACTGTGCTTACAGCGATGAGGAATCCAGAGCTGCTCTGAGGCACAGGCAGCAAATATCAGCGGGGTTACAG